CCGAAATGTTGAATTATCAAATAAACATATATATTAATCGCGATAAATCCTATTATATTTTGTTGATAAGTTGCCGTTGTTGCAATGTGATTATGCAACACCCGCATCCTGTTTTTTAATTGTTTGCAAACATCTAACCCACATAACGCTGATTTTAGAATGCAATTATACACAATTTGTGGGAGTTTTTGTATCAAATGCTTTCTTTGACATTTTAAAAGTAGCTTTTATATTTATTTGTGTTATTAAAATAGCTCTAAAATCTCAAACAATTCTGCTTATTTGCTAATTTTACATTCGTAAGATAGTTTGTTTTGTAATATACATGTTACGTTCACACAACACGTCTTCAAAAGTATCACTTGAAAGGTTGTATGAACGAAACCCGCCAAGTGCTGAAGTAAATCTGCTTAGAGAATGTGATACCTCTTTAACAAACAAGTTTAAGTTATACATATTTATACCATACGATAAAAAGAAATACATTAGAGATTTCCACGAATTATATGTTGTCAGGTTAATCACCAAATTCTTTGAGATGGTAACGCAAATAACCGTTTTTTACCGAAATGTTGATGAAAGAGTGCAATTTGGGGATGATGCCTTATTTCGTTCTTTCTTACTGTTAAGAGTTAGCTGCTTTTTAGCTACGACCATGTAAACTAAATAAAGTATCTAAATTCTAGCAGTTCCAGGTATGGGAGCTGGGCAAATACATTAAAAACCTGTGGTAATCTGTCTATTTCGTCGGATTGCTGTAGTAGCTAATCTGAATCTATTCTTATTCAACCTTTATTACATTATTTCACTTGACTAATCTACCGTTTAAGTCGTAAAAGATTATTTCATTTACTTTCCGTAATTACCCAAACACATGATATGGTCATGTATAATTTAAAATCAATTTTGTCGAGTTTCAATTGTACTGGTTTAATGCAAACAACCATAAAATAAATTATAAAGGAAACAAAAAATAAACTGCGCCAATTTGAAAGCAACGACTGCACAAACGATCGCAGATTGGACACTAGAATATGTAGTTTGGTGATCTTTGCCAATTCAGTGATTGTCTGAGAAGGGTTTGTATTTTATTTCATTCCATTTTCTTCAAAAAGAGGTTGAAACGCACTTTTTTTATTGCAAAAATAAATAATGAGGAAGTATGTTAAGTCATAATTCTGTTTGCAAACAGAAACAACTCGTCAAGTAAACATAATGGAAATGTGAACCCATGATAGAACAAAAACACATGTGTTAACATTTTTAAATTTTTTTTGTTCAGTTAGTTGTAAACTATACAACAGGTTAAGGTAACGTTGTAATTAAGAAATAAAAGATATCGTAGGGTGGCCAGGTAGTTGGGAGGGGCTTACATTATCTGAAGCACTCTTGTACAACCCTCCAATATAATTAGAGCACTGGCTTCACTATACAACGGTGACTCGATCCTCATGAATCCCAAACGGATTCGATCAGAAACAATTGAAAAAAATAAGTTTATGTGGTTGAAAATGTATTGAAATTTTATGTTATATTGTTTTATAACTTTCGCAGCGCCGTTGACTTATTATTTATAATTTTTTTTATTACTGTCTGTAAGTATTGAGTAAATTAAATCTGGCGAATAGGTTGAGTGTGAAAAATGTACAATAATTAATGTACATAACAGTGGCGTAAAACTTCGAGTTTTACAACAGATTTTTAAAGGAACTAATTACTTTTCTTAATACTGTAGTACAAAAATGTACTTGGACATTTCCTATTGGCTGCAAAATATAATTTATAACCTTTAACTAAATAGTTTGAATTTAAAATTTTCCATCTGCTATGATTTGGGTAGGGAGAAACGAATAAAAGTTTAATTAAAGAAAACCCATACAACTGAGTTGAAAAAATGCGCAGTTGTGTTTAAAACATATACAACCAAGCCATATAAATACAATATTTTCATATAATTATATGAAATTTGTATACAGTGATAAATGTTCAGTTTGGCTAAGAAGTTCCTAAAATTCAGTGGAATGTTACTTAAGATAAATTTTGCTAAGCAAGAGTTATTGAAAAACTTTTTAGATGGAGGATTGGTTACAATTGGCCGTAAAAAGAACAACAGTTTAGAAAACCCAAACACAAAACATTATACAGTCACAATACCCTTATGTAGTTTTAATAATTTTGGTACTAACACCATGAATTACCACCATGGACCATGGACCATGGATGGTCCTTTTATCTATGCTAACACTGATAATCTTCCATAATCTCCCACCGGTGGAAATTGGTTTGAAATTATATCTTATTTTATTATCACGGCCTTTATTAATTATTGCCACAGGTAAAGAAATTGTATTAATGTATTTTTTTTCAGTCCAGTCCTTGTTGATAAAATGGAAGTTAACTGAAAAGCTTATCTTATATGAGGAATGAAGCTCGCCTGTTGGGCTTGCAGATCTGTGCGGAAACTGGAAATGGCTTATATAGAAAACCGGTTGGATTCCTAACAAGTGTTGCGATTGCTAATCTTAGCTCTTTTCTGAAGTTGAGTTCTAAACAGTAGGATTGTCTTTGTGAAAAATAATTGTAATTGAATTTACGAATAGTAGTCATAGATAAAAATGTTTTAAATAAAGTCGAGAATGGTATACAATTTCATCGGATTCTTCATACATTTTATTTTAATGTAAAATATTTTATTTTGTGTACTAACGTTGACTGTGTACTAATTTAATTATTTCATTTGATCTAGAAAATCAAATGATTTCGATTTCGAATGTAAAAGAATGTAACGTCTTACCAAGTATTTCGCCAAAAATATTATTTTATATTTAACTGTCTCATAAAAACTAGCTGTAGTTTACAATGTTTTAAAATCTAATCTTAGCAGAAAGAAGCTACACCGATAGTTATCATAAGTTCAATAATCAATCGCAATAGTCTTCATAAGTAACAACTATATTTTGTATATATTTAGTTAATGTTTGCAGAACAAAAAGTCAATATAGACTTATTGTTACAGTAATATGTTTACAAGTTTTATTGAGCCCGGAGATCTATTAAAGTTTATCATCAAAATAGTAATCTCGAGTACGTGAATATAATGCCTATGAAACCTCTATTGAATTTTTGCCGTGTTGGTATTTTATAATCTTTTAACATTTTAAGTAATGTTCTGTTCACACAAAAAACTTTACGCAAAAGCGAAATAGCGAAATGTAGTTTTCTAATTTCATAGACTTCAATTTCCGCCCTGTTTGCGAACTATTCTAGTGCTAAACTAGAACCATTGTGTAGCCTGAAGGCTAAACCTACTTTCCAAAGTTCGGCCCGACTTTGCAGAATTTATGTTCAAACTGGGATTTATGTTGCTGACTTAGTTTTCTTCATGTTGAAACCAGACTTCTTGTTCAGTTTGACTTATTGAGTCACGTGACGAAGTTTCAAAAGCATAGCGTGATTTAAGTTGTTACAGTATTTAGTTGTGTACACGTATTTTGCATTTATAGATATTATGTTTCTAGAAACGTAATCGTTACGCTTTGATGCACGTGTAATAAATAATTTCTCTAAAAACGTCACGACGCAAGGAGTTGTTAATAGTTATGTTATTGGGGCGTTTTAACGTAATCAAGATATCTACCGTGAGATTTTGCGGCTTTACTATCTTCAAAGTTTGGGGAAAACGGATTGTGTTAAAACCTATTAATCATACTTGGAAACTCAAACACAGAACATGATGCAACACGGTCACATCGAAACAAACATATCTTTGTAAGGCGTATTGTAGAATTAACTAACCATTGTTGATTAGATCGTTGAATTACTCATAGTGATAAAACGGAAAACAATGCAAGTTGCTTAAATATCTGAATCACAGTAGTGATAAAGTTGACAAATTAACTAACAGTAATTGTTATCGTTGTACCGCTGAAACTAGTTGCTTTTGAGTCATCGTCGTTTCCTCTTGCTTAACCGTGTTGGAAGTTTGAAAATGTGGAGCAAAAGCTTTTTCTGTCGATACACAATTGTGAGGTAACTGTTACCCCATTATAGCTCTAGCTAGTTTTAGATTAGAAGGGATTGAATAACAAAGCCATCGATAAAATGCCTTGTGATATTTCATGCACTTCCTTTACAAAATTTTGGTCAAGACCAACTGTTAGGATAACTTATTTGGAAAATAAAACTCACTATCATATCTCAGTAAATGTAAACCAAAAGAGACTTTATGAGGCTCAATACATTTGTTCCCTCCTACCTAGCACCAGTTTCAGTGATTTTTATGGATGAGATATGTACAACTTTAGTGTCCCAAGTCAATGTTATTATTTTTTAAACATTTGATCACGTACCTTGTTTACTGAATACTGTTTCATTGTACACGTTCAAAGCCCTCCCTTCTTTTAAAATATATGCTGTATTCTACATGACGGCGAACAATTTTGTTTTAACAAAAAATATGGATTAATACCTATTTAGATAGATTTGAATAATAAGTTATGAACAATACATGACGAGGCTTACATAATCTATCCCAATCTTGGTTTTTTCAATTACTTTGTAAGCATGTTATTCCTACCCATCTCCAATAACTCCAGTGATGTTCGAATGAAACTGCTTTAAAACATGCATTAACGATTTTCATAAAAAACACAGCCAGTATCTTCTTAAAATGCGGGTTTAACAAATAAGTACTGGAGGACCGAAACTCACGTTTCATTTACAATTTATTTTGGCTTTTATTATTTAAGTTTCAGTGTAATTTAATTTTATCATGAGGTCACCTTTAACCTGTCAATCCATAACACATTAAATATACATTGAAAGATCACTCGTTTATAAATGCCTTTTAAGATGGGTACAACTCTTTAAGATTGCAGAAAAAAGAATGTTTTCCAGTAATATATTAAAAATATACAACAAACAAAATATACAAACAATAATTAACTGTGAAAAGTGTTTAGTAATTACTTAAATATAATTATTTTAATAATTTGTTTCAGATCGTGATTGGATTAATGTTGAGATAGAACAATGTTTCTTAAAGGGGACTTCATGTCGATAAATGCAGGTGAGTTGGAGCATTGATCGTTTGTTGTTTGTAGTGTAAAGTTAATGAGAAACATAAGGGGAACGTTGCAAGACCAACGATGTCCGTCTGTGTGGGTCTCACTTAGCAATACAACAAATGTTGTAAATAGTTCCAATTTTGATTAAATTTTGATCAAAACTGCTTGATTTTCTAGTTTGTGGGCGATTGGTTTAGGGAGAGGGTTCGGTACCATAAAATAAGTTGTTTGGCCTATTGTTCTGGATTTAAAAACTTAATAGCTATTATTATAGCTTAAAATAGGGTATGAATGATTTATCATGCTAATATCTATTTTGTATAGATTTTTTGTGTACATTCTTAATATTGGTAAGTTTTTGCAGATTTTCTGCCTACGATCTGAAAGAGAACTATCAATGCAGTTAGTTAACTTAGAAAGGGAAGTATTAGACAAAATAATATTTAATTGTTCTAACACGTTTGCTGCGGTGTAAGCATTTGAGCCAGTAGTTTTAAAACAACCTTTTACTATGGAGTTATGATCTTAAGTCATAGTATCATGGTAGAAACCACAAAAGTGATGGTTTCAAAACACTGGCTGATGTAAACAGTGGTTAAATACTAGAACTCAAACTCCATTAACATTATTTTGACATCGTAATATATTTCTCGTAACAAAACCCCATAATAATCGTCAGTTTTCTGACAACTTTATCTTTTCAAAATAAATAAAAATTTCAAATCAAACAATAAAAGTACACATAATTAGGTTGATCCTATTATTGAGACAGTTTATATAAACCCTGACTTAGCAGGGAAAGATTAAGCTAAGTATTATTTCAGTAATTCGCAATGAAGTGGAATATAATGGATTCCAGTCAGCTTTGTCTTATAGCCACAGTTTCCTGCGCAAATCGACTGAGGGTTGGAACCCTTCCAAATTGGGGACGTTACGCCGATCCCGACCGAGTGTAGGAGTTTTGCCAACGGGTATCAGGTAGAAAGGGTCCCCATCCATGAATTCCACATACTGCGGAGTTTTGCCAACGGTTGTGGGTTGCGCGAGAGGGGAGGGGGAGAGAGAGAGATTACACGTGACCGTGAGGGTGGCTTCCGCTAGGGGTGGACAAACCAGGCAGGATGCTGATTGTGTTCAAAGTAATGGAGTTATGTACCTCTGACTGTGAAAGGAAATGGTTTGAATTTTTAACCTAACCTAACCTAACCTAACCTAACCCACTGCGACAAGCGCACAACTGCCAAGCGTAGACAACCCTGACAATCGCTCTCCCTCCCTCCGTCACACTCTTTCTCCCACCACCACCGTTGGCAAATCTCTCCGCACCGAAGGTATCCCCCCCATCTACCTGACACCCGTTGGCAAAACTCCGGTTCCCATCCCGACCAGACTGTCACCTTATTGGGGTGTCGATCGTGACCGAAATTCGGTTAGGGAAAATTATATTTTAACAAATCTTTCTTAAAATATGTAGATATAAGTTTTGTGCTATGTAGTTTTCAATATTGTTTTCATGTAAAATTGTATCCCATCGACGTTATGGCTCTTTTTCGTAATTATTCTTCAAATCGGTTTATGTAGTTTTTTAATGAGAACTTATGGGCTGCTATTCCTTTCCGCCAACGATTAACATTTCATTATATTAATCTAGTTGTTAATTCTTGGTGTATGTTTTGTGATCAAGTCAACAGTTCACTTTCAAATAGTCAACGTGAACTGTATATATATGCAAACTAGTTTTGTTTTCGATTCTGTGTGGGTATACCTGTTTTAAAAAAATTGCTCTAAATGAAATTAATTTTGAGGTAACTTAACTAGTTATTTGAAAAAAAAATTGATAAATCCTATGAACTCTGAAATAGTATCTATGTAATTTTCATATGTCATTTTAAACCTAGTTAACCACATGTGCTCAAGCTTTCTTGTAAGCATTTTGCATTTATTTATTTATTTATTTAGCAATTTGTTTTAGTATTTATAAAATTGTTACAACAAAAGTATGTCCTTAAATCTACCTGAAAAATTAGATTGAATTTATAATGCCATTCAATGTACTAACCTTTGCTAAAAATATTCTTGACTGTCACCATGTTATATCGAAGTCAAATACTGTATAATATATTTTCATGACCTTCTCTATTATGAGGTATCACCTTTGGTGGAAGCCCAACATAGTCGATACGTTACAGTAGAGTGGCGGGTTGACACTTGCTGAGTTTGTTGTTTACCTTTTGATCAAACAAAAACTTCAAATTTGAAGCAAGCTGTACAACCAGTAGAATACCCAGACAATTTTGTGTAATATATATTGTTTTTCCACGACATAAATGTCCGCTCAAGTGAAAATATCTGGAAGGTAAAATTAGAAACGCAAACCGTACAACGGCTGAGGTCGCATGGATTTATCTTATCCGCTAATCCTGTTACTTTTCATCCCTAACCGGGAGGGATGAGTTGGTGTATTGTGTGGGTGATTTACGCTGGGCGTGGCTAACCCGTCGTCTAAATCACCCTGAACAAGGCTTTCCTGTATTCAATTCCCCCGTTGACCTCTTTTTCACAAGTGTTTTCAGTCGATAGAACCATATAGTTTTGTTTATACTAGGCGCATAATCTTCAGAATTTCTACTCCATTGCGGTGTGAAATATATGAAATGAGATGTGTGTAATTTACGACATGGTTGATGGAGAATTGGTAGAAAGCTCTCCTATGAGAAATTACCGTTTTTATTTTCTAGTTAGGTGCTGGGTCTGGTGAATACCTTATTGTCATTATTTGAAGTTCAATGAATTTAACAGGTTTTAAGACATATTTGATGGTATCTTTGCATTGTTGCACTAAAAATATAATCGATTATCAAGTTCAGATAAGTAAAATGTTTAGAAATAAATAGTAACTGATTAATGACTTTTATCACTGCTCAGCTATGTTTTTAACTGGTATGCAGTTTACAAATGAATTTGTGGTATTTTACTAAAGGATAAGTTAATTATTTAAAAATAACGTTTGAATGTTTTTTTTTATGAAAGAATAGTATATTTCGTCACTAGGGCGAAGCCGAAGTTGAAAAAAAAGTGAAAAGACACTTTTTGCCCGTGTGATGAACTATATTTTTCATCATACTGTAACAAAAACTGCCGTTTATGCATGCGTTTCGGGTCTAAAGTAGCACCTTTTTAATGGAAATAAGAAGCTGTTTAATAATTATTCACACATTTCGTCTCTTATGATAGTGTTTGTTAGTGACTAAAAAGCATTTTACTCCCTGGGGATTAAAAAGAGCTGCTTAGCCAGCAACGCATGTACTAAATCGTTGCTGCTGTAGTATGACGAAAAATAGTGTTTGAATGCATTTGCCAGGAAAGAAAATACAATTATAAAGCAAATTAAAGATCAAACCTCTCCTTATTCAGAATGTTTAAAAGACTTTAGAATTCAGTAACATAAGAAATCAAAATTTGCTTAAAATTCAGTCAAAATACAATGACATTACATGTATTCCTACAATAGGAAGGCTCTAAAATGCTCTTAATTAAATGTCTCTACCAGCACAATACATGTATTATATTTCAGTTGTATTTGAATAAAGGTAAAACAATATACAGAGAAACTACGAGCCCCAGACTCATAAATGATTCTCTCAGTAGGTGGGATTTGAAGGTAATTTCATATAGTGCAGCTGAATCGAGTCAACTGCAACAACAGGGTAAAATTACTGCATCGTTTTATTGAAAAATGAATGACATAAATGTGGGTTGGATGCAACTTATTTCAACTGACGCCGCAATCGAATATTATATCGTAGACAAAGATTTTAAAGATGACTTACATGATTATATCAAGTATACTCAAATATACTTAATACTTCAAATCACTACAGGATAATATCTTGAACATACCTTTTATCCATGGGTTTATAATGTTTATATATATTACAAATCCCACATTTCGTTCGATTGATCAATACTGCTGGTAATTGGATAAAATGCGTGTTCACTATGAGGAGGATTAAGTACACTGTTCGCACATTTCATTATTTCACAATTGAAATTTGTCACATACATCTTTGTAAAAGAGGCTGATGTAGACATTGAAGTAATAAGCTGTCACACATCCACAATACAATACGTCTTGGTTTTACTATTGTACCTCCACAGCTGCCATGTGTGTTATTTGTAGGAGAGTAACTGAGGAATGGTAGTAGGTAGTAGACATTGAGCTGTCACTTGACATGTTGAATGCAACATGACGTTAACATTGATATGTTCCAACATTTGGTCAGCAATTCCTTCGGCATCGAGCCAAATGTCTTCCAATTCGTGGATGCATCAGTAACGTCCGTCCAGATCACTTTACTGAGCTGATAGCGGCCATTAATACTAATATGATGTTTTTATGCACACGTCTACTCTACTTATATTTAGCCATTTTCCGCCCATCGTAGCTGGAAACTGTAAGGGAATTCATAGTGATAGAAAAATGTTTGGAATTAAATATTGCTGTTTTATAAACTTTTCTTTGGTTACCGTGACTTAGTAATATTGTAGTTGAAAAATTATAGTTTTCGTAAATCATACACGTTTTAAATTGAACTGTAAACCGAAGTCTTTTAGAAACTCAGATTTAGCTAAGAAATATAGTCGTATATTTTTAAGCCACAAAAATACCTGTCATTCTTGTATAGCATAATACTTTTATCTTTAAAAGTTTATCTTCACTTAATACCATCGTATTTTAATTTGTATGAGGCTTTAAAATTCACATTATAGCAGTACAACATTTTCACATTTGTCTATCCTGAAACCTCAAGGAATATAGAAAATATTTAACCAATCTTTTAAACTCCACACGGTTACACGTCCCAAAAGATTATACATTATTGTGTAGCTGATTTTACAATCTGTTGGCATCTTTTACCTCAACAATGAAGTGTATCTCTGCTTGAGTCAACAGGGATTCGCCAGCCAAATGTGGTAACGTTGTAGTGTAGGTGTCACAGTG